CCTCCGTGTTTTGTTTTGTCTTGTTTTGTTTCCGTTTCCGACTGTTTGAGAACTTTCCAATGCATAGCTTTTGTTCCAATCCACCCGTGGCTTGCTAGCCATTACAAGAGTTTTTGCCTTATATACTTATAAACATCTATGTATACATATATACATATAAAATATATCCGTGTCAGGGCTGGAGATGTAGGAGAAAAACTGGCTGAGGGAACTAGCCTGTTAATCAGAATTCTTTTCTTGTCAAACCAACCAATTTGGTCGGAACATCTGACAAAATAACCTTTAAAAAGTACTTAAATATTGTGTTAATTGGTGACAAAGCCTTTCTCCTTTCCTCCAGATCGTGTCTTTATCGGTGAATAATTTTTTTTTTTTTTTTTTTTAAAGATGACCGGTAAGGGGATCTTAACCCTTGGCTTGGTGTTGTCAGCACCACGCTCAGGCAGCGAGCCAACCGGCCATCCCTATATGGGATCCGAACCCGGGGCCTTGGTGTTATCAGCACCACACTCTCCCGAGTGAGCCACAGGCCGGCCCTTTCCCTGCTTTATTATCTCTATGATACTTATCACTATGTATCATAACATATATTTGGCTTTTTTTCTTTTTATCTCCTCCTATAGGAAGGCAGGAGTCTTTGTTTTATTCCCTGCTGATTTCTCAGGGTCTACAACAGTGCTTGGTAGATAAAAAACATTCAATATATATTCGTTGAATAAGTGAATTAATATGTTCACTTGTATGAAAATTATGATAATCAAGAATTTGGGTACTAATCACAGCCAAGACTTAATTGAGCATTTACTATGTTTAAATTTTCCACATGTCTCATTTAACCCTCTAAACCACCTATGATGCTATTATCATTATATCCCTTTTACAGAGTAGAAAACTGAGGACCAGAAGCCTATTCCACAGCACGTTTCAACTGAGTTGGATTTTGTTTCCCTGGGCCTGCTTCTTCATAAAGGAACTGAAATTGCACTTAGCAATCGGGGATGGCCGGTTAGCTCAGTTAAAAAAGAACTTGGCACTCGTCTAAGTAGCCTGAGATCGCGGGGTCTAGCGTCCATAGCAATCGTGGCGACAGGACACGGTAGAACCAAGAACCAGAGAACGAGATCAAGTACAAGACCAAGCTTTCGACCCTCATACACATCTACTAAGCCCCAAACTCAGAACACCATATCAAGACGCTGACCTGTCCCTAGTAGTGAAGAAAATATTCAAGTTAAAACGATAACAGGGTGACAGAGGCTACCGAAACCACGTCGCGTCCAGCACCAACAGGCTTCACGTGACAGAGGATCCTGGCCTCGCGCAGCTTCCGTAGGGCTGGCTCCAGTCCCGGAAGTAAGGCGGAGCTACTAAAGAGTCGGAACCCACTGAGCGGAAGTGGCTGTTGGGGGCTTTAAGGTGGCTTTAAATTGCTGCCGTCTTGGGAGCTCGCCCCTTTTCGCTGGAGTTAGGCTTCGCTCGCCGGATGGCTGTGGACGTGAAGTCTCGAGCAAAGCGTTATGAGAAACTGGACTTCCTCGGGGAGGGACAGGTGAGATTGTCCAGCGGGGTTGGGAGGGCCCTGAGCCGAGCACCGCGCCGCCTCACATCTTTGCAGGTTTTCTCGTGGAGGCCAGAGGACTGGCCTGGCTGCTCGTTCTCCTCGGAAGAGGATGTCCAGACGCACCTGCTGCCCTTCTTCACATCCTGCAGGTGAACTCCTGAGCGGCCCTCTCCTTTCTGAAGAATAGGCTGGAGCTGGACGTGGAATGCCCGAACACGTTTCAAGCCGCCGCGAGTTCTCTCACGAACGCTGGGTTCTTTGCTTCCCAAAATGTTAAAAAAAAAAAAAAAGCACAAAGGCATACATAAAAAAGCTCTCAGAAACCGGTGTTATTCCTGTTTTTCTTTCCAGTTTGCCACAGTTTACAAAGCCAGAGACAAGAACACCAATCAAATTGTCGCCATTAAGAAAGTGAGTTAATTTGTTTTTCAAGTCTCTTTGAAGATATCTGTACTGAGTTGACTGATGGTCGTTTTACTGTTCTTGACTGCGTTTTCATAATGAGGACTCATGTCATTTGCAAAGACAATAGAATTAATTAATGCCTTGTGTTCCGAGATGGAACTCTGGAGTTAAACCAGTTTTTTGTTCCCTTAATTTAAACTGAAATGAAGAGCAAGCTGTATGTTATTTTTGCTGCATAAACTCGGACGTTGGCTAAGGGGGCAAGTACTGTCCATCTCTTCTGTCCTCAGAACTATTTGATAACCATGATCTTTTCAGGTCACGGTTCTGCCTCACCTGCATCCATTCTGTGTTATATCTGTATTTTATTTCTCTTTTTCTTTTTTTCTTTTTTTTTTTTTCTTTTTGGCAGCTGGCCAAAAGCGGGGGCCGGCGGGGAGAGGGGGGTCATCTGAACTTGTGATTTTGGTGTTGTGACACCGAGCTCTGACCAACTGGGCTAATCGGCCAGGCTACATTTTTTCATTTACTTCTCAAAACAGCCTATTAAATAGATAAAGGAGGCACCTGAAGTTGAGAAAGATTAGCTCACTTGTCAATACCACACAGCCAGTAATTGCTGAAGTCACTACAATCCACGTCTCCTGATGCCGGGTTCATTGCTCTTTCCCATACTACTGAAATATTCAAGGACAATTCTTCTCACATATCTCAGGGTCTCTTGGTGGAGTAGGTACTTCCATGTTCCTTTTGTTCCTGTTGCTACTTCGAAAGCGTTTCTTCTCCAAAATCCGTAACTGCTTTGAAGCTTACATTATCCCTTACATTATCTCCCTTGTTTTTGTCATCTGCCAGCCTCCCAGGTACTCCCTCTCATTCATTTAACACCTAACTCTCTTCCTCTTAATTATTACTGCCATAATTATCTTTTTTTTTTTGACTTTTTGACTTCTTTTATATCTCCATTTTCCATCCTATGTTTCATGATCCAGAACTATAGCCACTCCCTTTGTAAAAAACCTTTAACTCTCCTGAACCTTTTGTCTTTTCCATTCTGCCCCTGGTTCACTATATCATAGCCACACTGACCTTTCTGTGCCTTAGACAACACATTAAATTTATTCCAGTCTCAGGATCGTTACATTTGCTGTGCCTTCTGGTTGGTATATTTTCCACCTAGAACTTGGCATGGCTGATACTTTATTATTCAGGTTTCACTTAAATGTCTGCCCCACACAGAGGCTTTCTCTGTTCATTCCAGCTAAAACAGGTGTGCCTCCCTCCTTCCCTATTCTTCACCATGTTTCTCTATCATCTTCATCGCATTTATCAAAATCTGAAATCCTCTTATCTGTAAATTTATTGTCTGTTGAACTCCATTCATATTAAACCTAGGACTATGGCTAGCAAATTTGTAGACACTGGTGAAAAATGTATTGACTTGGGCCGGCCCGTGGCTCACTTGGGTGAGTGTGGTTCTGATAACACCAAGGCCACGGGTTCGGATCTTATATAGGGATGGCCGGTTAGCTCACTGGGTGAGCATGATGCTGACAACACCAAGTCAAGGGTTAAGATCCCCTTACCGGTCATCTTTATAAAAAAAAAAAATGTATTGACTTTACTGACTGGTATAATCTCTTCATACTTTTAGCATATTAAGTTCTATAGCTGTTTGAAAGTCCTAGTAGGGTTTTTTGTTGCTTGTTTTCAACCAAAATTAGGGTTTAGAATCCATCTTGTTTCTCTGTGGTAGACTTTTCCCCCTAGAAGATGACTCATAGTGGAATCTTTTACAATAAATTTTTATTTTATTTCAAATAATACATTTTTATGGGGTTTTTTTTCTCTCTGAAGATGGAGAAAGACATTTTTATGGTTTTAAAAGTCACTTTTTAAAAGTCAGGGTTTTTTTTTTTTTCCTTTTGTCTTTTTTCGTGTCCGGCAACGGATCGCAACCCTCAGTGTCGCGCCCGTACCGGACCGGGACCAGCAACGGGATCGCAACCCTCGGTGTTGCGCCCGCACCTCGCTCAGCCAGTGAGCGGCCGGTCTGTATGTGGGATCCGAACCCTCAGTGGGAGCGCCGCACTGTAGCAGTGTGCCACCGGGCCGGCCCTAAAAGTCAGGTTTTAAAAGGTCAAGGCTTTTAACATGCCAAGCTCCTCAGAGCAACATTTTTCAGTTCCTTTGTTTCCTCTGGTGTTTACCTCTGTTTCTTTAAATAATATGCATATATCATTTCATGAGTGGTTTTGTTCTGTTCTTTTCAGTTTTAGACATTATGTATTGTTGCTTTGTGCTGCTTCACCCCCCACAGATTTATGCTTTGCCCCCCATAGATTTGTCACCCCACTTCCCCTGGGTGATGAAGATGCAAAGGATTACTCAAAGCCCATCTCTTCTGAGTAGTGAGAGACCCCTAAGCAGTTAACTTTCTTTGGGAACGCTCAAGCAAGAGGCATCCCTTCCTCGGGAAATTAACCCCGAATTGGGGTTATCTTCCTGCATTTATTTTCCAGACCAGGAAGTTACAGGAAGAGACATAGGTGGGGTTATAGTTTAACAATATAGGCTGGTAACTTTCAGTGAAACAAGCCAGATGACACTCCAGCAAGGGTATCAACAAAAGCTTGATCTTAGCAAACATTCCTTCTTACAGCAGTTCTCAGTATCTTTACATAACAATTAGTAACTAGTCTGTCCTTCAGCCAGCAACCTTGCTGTGCCACAAATCTTTATCTTAACAACGGAGACTTTATAGCCTGAGGGAAATTTCCAGTCCTCTGCAAGGTCAATATTTGAAACTGCAAGGCTTTGGAAAACCAGGCCCTGTGAGGTACATATGCTTTATAGTATATTCCACAATCTATACCTTCTGTTATGAACATTGAGGATATGGTGCTCTGGACCTTCTTCAAACATGCATAATTTCTATTTCCATTCATTTGCTATGTTTAATCTTACCGAAAGGGAATCTTTGTAATCTTTTGCCTATTATACCTTAAACTTTCTTTTTTAGTCTTTTTTTTTTTTGACACCTGACTCCTGACCTTGGTGTTACAATTCCACTCTCTAACCAGCTGAGCTAACTAGCCATCGTGTGTCTTAGACTTTTAAAATATCATCGATGTACCTCATCCTTATAAGATTATATTGAATTTACATTTGCCAATTTATTTAACCCATCCCCTGTTGATGGCCTTTTGGATCATTTCTCATTTTTTTCAGTATCTGTCTCTAACATATATACCTCAAAACAATATATAGCATTCCATACTTTTAAGCTGTGTATATGTGTATATAATATATATTCTTCTGCAGCTTGTCTTCCTGAATCAACATTGTTTCTGAAATCCTCCATATTGATACACGTAGATCTTGTTTATTCATGCTCATTGATGATTACATCCTATTACATGACTTCTCAAATTTTGTATCCAAAGTCTTGTTGATAGATATTTAGGCTGTTTTTTTTAATGTTTTCCCCTAATACAGTCCTTCCATGGATGATCTTCTGAGTCATCTTATACATATGTTTGAATTTCTCTAGAGAGTGTATCTATAATTGAAAACAATTATGATTTGTTACCTCAGAGTATCACAACAGTCAACGTCACCAAACATGGTCAAATTGCTCTCCAAAATGGTTAGATCAGTTTATCATCCCACCACATTCTCAACATCATGTTTTAATAGGGTTTTATAATTCTATTGAGCTTTGTATATCTCTTGTTAGCTTTATTACTAAGTATCTTATATTGTTTGGTGCTATAATAAAAAGTTCTGTTTTAGTGGTAAAATAGTTGTGTTTTTCCAGAAGTAATCTTTCTTGATTACTGAGAGTCCTTACATAAATTAGTAGAGTGCAGTGTTACAACACACCAAGGTCAAGAGTTCAGATCCTGGTATCAGCCAGCTCCCACCTGCCTCTCCTCTCCAAAATTAGTAAGAGAGTGTTCTTGAACCTGGTAACCCATTTTGTGTTAGACTAAACCTATTAATGTAATTTGTTATGCTTATTGATAGTAACTTTAATCATTTTCCATATCAAGCACAATTTGAAATTTTGCTTTTTGGAAAATGTGGTACCTAAGAGCATATTATTGGGTATGTTACCAAATATACAACGTGTTATTTTCTGTTTATATGTCACATCTTTTCTCCCAAATATGCTAACTTGAAGCGATTTTTTTCTTTTTTATTAGCCAGCATACCCTTAGTTATTTGGTCCACATTTAATCTTGAAAGGTAAAGGAGGCATTTATTTTCTTAATTCCATATTTGAATGTGTAGATCAAAAACTTAAAGGACAAGGGTAGGTATTTGATTAACTCTATTCTATTGTTAATTTTGCTTTTCTAATTCTTGATTCCCACTCCCTTTTTGCCTAGTACTAGCTACATACGAGTTGCTACATGTTTTCACAGTGGCTCAGTTTTTGAAGTACTTATATGTTATGCATTGAGTCTAAATAATTTAACACATTTTTAATGTTTTTGATTTTTTCTCTACCAGATCAAACTTGGGCATAGATCAGAAGCTAAAGATGGTAAGTATTTCATGTAATCTGACAGAATAGGAATAGTATTTATTGTCACTGAGGAAGTGAGCAAAGTATTAATAAGGGCTAGCAGTGGTTCTAGATAGAGTTATCGCAGGATCCCAGAAGAGTAAACATAGACCCCAGATAGAGAAAGGATCTTTGGTGATTTTCACTCTTTGGGTGTTCAGATTCAAATCACCTAAGTAAATGGAAAGCAGCAAGCTTATTAATGGCTTATCTTGCTGTCTTCATTACTGTTTTAGGTGTTGCAAGCTGTTGTTTTTTCTATTTTTGAGCTTCTGATTACTTTGAAAATTCAGTATACATCTTCACGGAAGTACACAAAGCTCACTATAGAATAGATGTATGGGGAAAAGATTTCTTAAACCCTTTTTCCAAAGCTAAGTCCTGTTTAGTCATCACAAAACAGTTTTTATAAAAAAGACCCACCATCTGTGTAAATGCCAGTACCAAATCTTACTTTTAATATTGAGATCTGCCTTTTGCATTGGAAAAGATACTTCCTTATCACTAGTTTTCTTTTAGCACAAAGAATCTGCTCCTAGTATTTATAGGACAAGAGAAGAGAAGCTGTTTACTTACCACCTACATGCTGTACACATATCCGGCAGTCTTCAGATTTGATATGCTGCAAATAAAGTTAATATTTTCTTCACCATTTATTATAATCTGTTAAGCTGTTATAAAGCAATATAAAAGAAAAACATATGTTATAAAAATTGTCTAAGTAGAAATTATTTTTCTGTGGAATATTTATTGCTATTTCCTGAGATGACTAATCTTTTCTAAAAAATATATTTGTAAGAAGGTTTGAGATTTTAGAATTATTGTTCACTTCTTGTTTTGCCTTTTTATATAGGTATAAATAGAACAGCCTTAAGAGAGATAAAATTATTACAGGAGCTAAGTCATCCAAATATAATTGGTGTGAGTATGATCTAAATTGTTTCTGGGATTTGGGACCCTGCCTTTTCTGAATGTAGTGGATGTTGATTGAAGGCTCAGCGAGATAAGTTGTTCTAGGTGAGCCTTGAAGAAGTAGTTTAAAAGTTTATCGACCTGAAATGTATTTTTGTTTTTTTTCTTTTTTTTTTGGCGGCTGGCTGGTACAGGGATCGAACCCTGGAACTTGGTTTTATCATCCCATGCTCTGCTCTAACCAACTGAGCTAACCAGCCAGCCCCTGAAATGTGTTTTCTATCCTAATCGGTCCTGTAGGCAGTGTCTTTAAAAGTATACAACCAATGAAATCAAATATTCACATATGGGCTAATTTTGTCAGAAATCATCTTGAAACCTCAAGAGCTCTAGCATAGTGGTTAAGCGTGTCAGCCTGCATTGGAAACCCTTCTTTCTGCCTGTGTGAGACCTTGAGCATGTTCCCTCACAACTCTGTGCCATAGTCCCTACCTCATAGGGTTGTTGTGAGACTAATTGAATATGTGTGGAGTATCTGGACTAGTGCCTGCCATAGAGAATGTACTCATTCATTGAATGATAGCTGCTGCTATTTAGAGGATTTTCTTAAGCATCATGCTTGGGAATTTTTTTGAATTGGAAACTGAGGTGAGGTTTTCATTAATTCATTTCTTAATTATAACTCCAAAAATTTGAGGGGAGAGGTTAAGTGTTTTGTGATTTTTTTTTTTTTATGTAAAGTTTAATATTTTGTGCTTTAAAATACTAATTCCTTTAGTACTGTCCAAGAAAAGACAAATGTCAAATTTAATAAAATTATTTAAGCTTTACAGGGAATTGCCAACAATCCAAATGCTTGCTTACATTTTTAAAAATTACTTCAGTTGGTATGATATATTCAAGTATTAAATGGAAAATCACATTTTAACTTTTAAAAATTTTTTGCTTTGCAGCTCCTTGATGCTTTTGGACATAAATCGAATATTAGCCTAGTCTTTGATTTTATGGAAACTGATCTTGAGGTAAGATTAATATTCCTAAAGAAATTTTTTTTCAGGCCGGCCCGTGGCTCACTTGGTAGAGTGCAGTGCTGATAACACCAAGGCCACGGGTTCGGATCCTATACAGGGATGGCCGGTTTGCTCACTGGCTGAGCGTGGTGCTGACAACACCAAGCCAAGGGTTGAGATCCCCTTACCGGTCATCTTTTAAAAAAAAAAAGAAAGAAAGAAATTTTTTTTCTCAGTTTATCAAAGGAGAACCTAAATGTTTGTTTTCTACTTAAGAAGATATTGGTAATCAAAAAAATGCTTAATTTTATTGAAATTTGGATGTACTCTGAAGTCAAAAGGATTTCTGAATTCTTTACTTCTAGACATTTAGCTATATTCCCAGTGTTAAATACAAATATTTGTACTTAATTGGCATTTCTGTCTGCCAAGTTCCCTATAGCTTATTGGTAATATTTTTGTATGTTTGGCGGCTGGCCGGTACCAGGATGGGAATCCAAACCTTTAACCTTAGTGTCATCAGCACCACACTGTAACCAAGTGAGCTAACTTGCCAGTCCCATTAATATTATTTTTAGAGAAATAAGCGTTAGGCCTGTAAGGATTTTGATCTTTTTTCTATATTATCAGAGTACTATCCTTTTGAAAGACAAATTTTACTTCAAAAAATATAAAATCTTATGCTTTCCATTAATATTTTAATTATTTTCTGTTAGTATTAATTGAATTCCAAAAAACTAACAACCCAAGGATGTAGAACAACTGGAGTTCTCATTTGAGGAATCTTCAAAAAGTTCATGGGAGATCCCCATACCGGCCAGCCACCAAAAAAAATTCTCAAAAAGTTCATTGGAAGTTTCATATTATCTTTTAATTCTGTTTTTCCATGAACTGTTGGAAGTACACTCATATACTGCTGTGAGAATGCAGAATGGTACAGGTACACAGCAACAGGATCGCAACCCTCCGTGCTGCGCCCGCACCTCGCTCAGCCAGTGAGTGGGAACTGGTCTGTATGTGGGATCCGAACCCTCGGCGGGAGCGCCACCGCGCTCCCAAGCGGCGCACTGTAGCAGTGCGCCACCGGGCCGGCCCTAGAAACAGTTTCTTATACAATTAAGTACATATTACCAGCCAGATAAAAGGAAAAAAGAATTTCATATAGCAGTATCAAAAAGTAAAAGGAGGGCCAGCCCGTGGCTCACTTGGGAGAGTGTGGTGCTGATAACACCAAGGCCACGGGTTCAGATCCCTATATAGGGGTGGCCAGTTAGCTCGCTTGGGAGTGCGTGGTGCTGATAACACCAAGTCAAGGGTTAAGGTCCCCTTACCGGTCATCTTTTTTAGAAAAAGTAAAAAGACCACACTAAATGTACAAACTGGTAGTGATTAAGTCTATAGCCTATTGTGATAGGTTCTTCCTGCATCAGTACCACTGTTATCACTATTATTGTGATCTGTAATAGCATCCCTAATATTGTGCTCAGTACCACTAATCAATAATGTTTGTGATCTAGCAGTACCACTGCTAGGTATTTATCCAGGAGAAACAATACATGCCAAAACCGAAATCAGCTTGTACACAGATATTTAGCTTTATTCATATCACCAGAACAACCCAAGTGTCCTATATCTAGTAAATGTATAAACAAACTGGTACATCCATATAATGGACTACTAGTCAGGAATAAAAAGGAACAAACTACTGATAAATGCAGCAATATAGATGGATCTCAAATGCATTAATACTAAGTGAAAGAAGCCAGGCTCAAAAGACTGTGTATTTATTGTGTGATTCCATTTATATGATATTCTTAAAAAGGTAAAACTAAAGGAACAGAAATCAGATCAGTGGTTGCCAGAGGTTCGGGTTAAAGGGAAGAATTGAGTACAGAGGGGTCCCAGCGTATTTTGGAAGGTTATAGAACTATCTTTATTTTAGTGGTGGTTACATGACTAGATGTGTTTGTCAAGACTCATGGAACTGTACACTAAAAAGAATACATTTTACCTTAAATCTGATGTTGGAAAAAAAAAGAATTTTTAGTTCATATAACTGATACATAGGAATAAACTGCGTTTAGGCACAGATCACAAATAATGCCATCAGAACTCAGTCTTATACTTTAACTCATCTCTATTTTCTTCTCTCTTTCCTTCATTCATGGGCACAGTTTCTCAATGTGGTCCAGGCACTTTCAGGCTTATATTCTTAGATATAATAAACCCTGAGTTTAATAATCCCTGAGGAAAGAAAGTGCTTTGTTCCCTTTGAGTCTAGCAGAAATACTTGGCTTGGTTGATTGACTTGTCTTGTATCATGTGTCCATCCCTGGACCAGTCAGTCACCTGGCCGGGAGGCTATAGTGTGGTAATGGTCATGCCTGAGTCATAAAGAATGAGCTGGGAAGAGGTGGTTTCTTAAAGGAATACTGAATGCTGTTGTCAGAAGAGGCAAGTAAAATCAGTAGATGTTTGCTACTTTCATGCCAAAGCAGCATTTCCTGTCCAGACCAGAAATGTTCTCTCTAACCACCTAACTCTGGAAATTCTGACAGTGCTTCCTAAGGAGAGTTAAATAACTTCTCTTGAGATTCTCCTATATAGATAAACTCATTTTAGGTCTGTAAATTGTTTTATTTGCTAGAGTTCATTTTAAATAATAAAGTACACCTGTATATCGTATCTCTGCATTACAGGTTATAATAAAGGATAATAGTCTTGTGCTGACACCATCACACATCAAAGCCTACATGTTGATGACTCTTCAAGGGTTAGAATATTTACACCAACATTGGATTCTACATAGGGTAAGGTTTTTAATATTACTTCTTTATGTTAGTCAAGTTTTATGTAGCCAGTTTAGTACATAATGGTCTGAATATGTAAATTGTTGAACAAAATAAAAGTATAGCCAGACCATTTTGTCCCACTTTCTTCCTCTGTGTGTTCCCTTCAGTTGTACCAGCAGGTGGTGCTGTGAGGACTCCAATTACTATGTGAAATTTAGAACTGGAAGAGACCCAATCCTTCGTTTTTTTCATAGAAGAGCTAAGTTGCTAAGTGACCTGACTAAGGTTATATTTTTTTTCAAGGTTGGCAGTTGAGAACTGGCAGGGTATCAGAACCTAGGTCTTTTAGCTTTAAGTCCAGTATTATTTGTGCTGTGTTGTTCTTATGTGGAAAAATATGAGAATCTGGGTTAATTAAAACAATGCCAAAATACCTTTAGAGAGGTAGTATTTCTGGTAGCTCTAAAATTCTGTGAAGTTATGAAATAAAATTTATGAAATAGTTGGATCATTTGTAGGAACATTCAGCTATTGGAACAAGGCTGATAGGTACCCTGTTTAGATACTTAATTTAGATTAATAGCTAAGAAGATATAATTTATAACTAATAAGTCTCATGTCTTAAATTTGGAATCTCTTTTAGGTTATTGCTGATATCTTTTTAGTATAGATTTTGAAGAATATGTGCCTTGTCCTTTAAATGCATAACATTTTTATTTACTAAAGTTTATATTTATTATTATTAATAGTAGCAACTGTTTATTGGGTGCTTAGCCACCGTTATACTAGATTCTTTACAGAAAATATTAAATTTAATCCTCACAGCTATCCTGTGAAGTAGGTAAATTGAGGCTCAGTGAAATTAAGTACTTTACCCAAGTCCTCACTATGTAGTATAACCAATCTTATTTTACTTTGATAAGATTTTACATCACTGGAAAACATTGGGCTCAGTGAAATTAAGTACTTTACCCAAGTCCTCACTATGTAGTATAACCAATCTTATTTTGCTTTGATAAGATTTTACATCAGTGGAAAACATTGTTGTTTGAATTTTGGATGTTACCATGTTTTTGCTAAGTTTAAAGTTAGGCCAACTAAATGTAGCAGTGTTGTATTATCACCTACACTGCTTATTTGTTTGTTTAAAACCTCCATGATATAGGATCTGAAACCAAACAACTTGTTGCTAGATGAAAATGGAGTTCTAAAACTGGCAGATTTTGGCCTGGCCAAATCATTTGGGAGCCCTAATAGAGCTTACACACATCAGGTTGTAACCAGGTAAGAATCCCTTAAATAATTGAAACCTTATGTTGTGCAGGATATTGATTACAAATGTGCATCAACTGGCTTCTCTGAAATATCTTGGCAGAGTTCAGGAGACATTGTTGGTGTCTTTTAAAAAATGGATCTTTTTCCATTATGTGTGTTTTACCACAGTGGAAAAAACACACAGCCCTTCTTTCAAATGGAGTTGAATTAACTCTATCCTCAGAGATTTACATAGTAACTTTTGGTAATTATTTATACTTAGGCATTTTAGTTAGATAAGGTGGAACTTCAGTGGCTATTCTCACCTAATCACCTGATTTATTGGGCCGGTGTTTATTATATTGGTCAGTCCTGATTCTGTGTCCTTCCATGTGAATGAAAATCCTCTAAACAAAGCAGTGTATTAATATTTGGATTTTTCATATTATTAGTAATTGTGTTTTCTGCTTATACTTTTGTTGTATAAAGAAAAATCACATTAAATAGATAGGGACAATAGGTTTTATAATTATTGTCAGAATGGTATCTGTTAATATCTAAGATTCTTCTAAGGATCTGCGAAGATCTTAAGATTCTCTGTTTTAAATTATTTTGTCACCTTATTGCACATAGATCTTGTTGAATGTCAGTGACCTAAGCCCTGAATAAAAAGTAGGGGATGTGAGTAATTATTTGTGTAATTGCTGAAACAATTAAGCCCATCATTCAGGAACTCTTAGAAACAGGGACCCACATATGAGAGCATCGTATATTCATGCTTTCTCGCCTACCAGTTTCTCACAATTTTTCTGCCTGCAAATCAAATGCTGCTAACAAGTCAAATTAAGATGAGGACTCTGCGAATTGACAATTGGATTTAGGAGTGTGGACATCACTGATAACCTTGATGGGCAGTTTTGTTGGAGTGATGGAGATGAAAGCCTGATTGAAAAGGGTTTAAGAGAGGATGAGGGAAGAGGAATTGGAGACAATAAAAATAGACAACTCTTTGAACTAAAAGGAGGTAGCTATTAGGGGAGGTAGGGTCCAGAGAAATTTAAGGCTGGATAAATAATGGTATGTTTGTACACTGATGGGAAAAGTCTACTAGAAAACAAAAGATTGATGATGTAGGAGAAAGGAGAAAATTGCAAGAGCAGTATTCTTAAAACTCAGCAAGAGAGAGTGTTATGTAGTACCTAAAGCGAAGAATTGGCTTTAAAAACAAATAAGGATAGTTCATCTCTAAGACATGCTTTAATAATTGCATTCTAAAATGACAGTATTTCGAGGCTGGACAGTTAGCTCAGTTGGTTAGAGCATGGTGTTGATAACACCAAGGTCAAGAGGATTCAGATCCCCATATAGGCCAACCACCCTCCCAATCAATCAATAATAAGTAAATAAATAAATAATAAATAAATAGACAATATTTCTCTTTGTTCCTCAGGTGGTATCGGGCCCCTGAGTTACTATTTGGAGCTAGGATGTATGGTGTGGGTGTGGACATGTGGGCTGTTGGCTGTATATTAGCAGAGTTGCTTCTAAGGGTAAGTCTAAACTAATGTACATACTTCAATATTGTTGTTACAGTTGTTTGTTCTCATAATTTTTGTAAGAATTATCGTTCCACCACTATCCTTACAACAAAAAATCTACAAACAGACCAATTTTTAGAAAAAGTCTTCCACAAATGCAGCCATTTTAACTAATGCTAATGTGAGATGAGAAGACCTCCCTTTTAGGACAATATGGGTTTTATTATAGATAGTTATACCTCAGAACATAGAAATTAACTTGTAATACGTTATTCTCTATAATAACTAAATGTGTTAGGGTAAACTTTTGTTCTCCTGATAAGTTTTTTGTTTGGGGCTGTTTATTTTTATTATTTTTTTTTTATTTTTTTAATTTTTATTTTGTCAATATACAATGTATATGATTATTATGGCCCATCACCGACACCTCCCGCCCTCCTCCCTCTCTCCCCTCCCGTTTGGGGCTGTTTAAAGTGTACTTTAGGACATACGTAATACCAAGCACTGCAGCTGCCACTCTGTATAACCGTAAACTTTATGTGAGACCATCATTTTAGTTCTGTTCAAACAGAACAGACATGGTGGTACTGTAGCATTTCTCTGACTAGTACAGTAAAACATCCCTTTCCTGCCCTCAATGGAGAGAAAGACACTGACTTGGAAACTTTTCATTAGCTATAAAGTTTTGATCTTCAGAAAGACTAACCCTTCTGAATGATGAAGGAAAAGGAATACTGGGGAATCCTTCTGAAGCTGTTTTTCTCCCAACATTTCAGTCAGTCCCTACTCTCCTTCCTCTTAAGCCATATATGTATTTAAAGAAATATGAACCCAAGATGGGATAGCATTTTTATTTCCTTGTATATAGAAAATAACATCTGTAAGAGAAAAGTGACACTAAAGATATTTAAGAGTGTAAATTCTACTCATTTTGAGAAGCTCACCTCTATGCATACTTGTAGAAGAAACCCACACATGCAGACCTGAAGATGACATGGCAATCTCAGTGCTAAAAACAGGTCCTGTGAATCAGCTGGCATGACAGCTCTGCTACTCACAACACAAGAGAATACCAGATATTCACATTGAGAATGTATCAACCCCCAACATTCATTCCTGGCCAAGAAAAAAACAATTCTGTAACCCCTAATGTTATGACTAATCAATTCATTGAGAAAGTAAGTGAAGAGAGACAGCAATTGAGAATAGACAGATTAGAAAAAAGAGTTACACCATTCTGCCATTCTTTTTGCCACAAAATTGAAGAGAAAGGTTTTCTATTTTAAACTGCCTCTGTGATCAGTTGAAAAAGTGGTACATGGAAAATGAGTATCCATATTAATGGTTAGTCAGGGATCACCATATAGTTTTTAAGGATCTTCAGATGTTTTATGAAAGCTTCCAGCATGAAAGACAGCCTGAAACAAACTAGAAAGAACTTGAATAAAATAGAAATAACCAGAGAAAAAAAAAAAAAAAAAAAAAACATTAAAAACACGAAGCTTGACTTGTGGTTCCAAAGCAGCTCTTTCTTTAGGGGAAAAAAAAGATTTTTAATATGAATAATTTCAAACGTGCAAAAGCGGAAATAGTAGTAAAATGAGCCTCACTGTACCCATCAGCCAGCTTCAATAGATTTCAAGGAATGGACAATTTTATTTTATCAATACCCTCCTACACTACATTTTTTTTGCCATGAATCCCAAACATCATATAATTTTATCTAAATGTTGCTTAAGTATTTTTCTCTAAAAGATAAGGTTCTTTATCATAACTACACCACCATTGTCACCTGAAAAAAATGAATAATAATTCCTTAATAATGAGTCTGTATTCAGATTTCTCCTATTTTTCACATACATATCTTTAGTCTTAGTCAAATTAGCATCTAAAATTCACACACTAGGCAGTTCATTTTAATTTAAATTTTTCACATTATACAAAACCACATTTGTCTTTCAAATCTGATTAAATTACAAGGTTTTCCACAATTTGCATTGGTGGCCTGCAGGTAAAGATACATGCACCCTACAGAGGACAAGATAATCCTTTGGGGTAAAGAACAAAATGTGAGCATATCTAAAAATACTTGTAATGTTATTTAATATCTTTTCAGTATTTTTTTGTACACATTTAGTATATTTAATAGTACGGTGTTGTATAATTTATAAACAGGGATTATACTAAGTCTGGATTCAAACAAAAAATAAAAACCACACATTATTTGGGGGGAAATTTAATATAAAGAATTGTCATTTATTTATTTTTATTTTTTTATTTTATTTTTTTTTTCCTTTTTGTCTTTTTTCGTGACCGGCAACGGATCGCAACCTTCAGT